CTCAGGCTGGGCCTGGGCCTCAGGTTGGGGCTGGGGCACAGGATGGGGCTGGGGCTCGGGTTCAGGCTGGGCCTGGGCCTCAGGTTGGGGCTGGGGCACAGGATGGGGCTGGGGCTCGGGCTGGACTCGGGGGCCCCCACTGGAGCCCATAACAGGCCCGGGGTCTGGGCAGTAGCAGCAGTCCGGCCGGGGCTTGCAACCGGGCTGGCAACAGACCTGCAGAGCGGGGTCCTCCCCCTGTGCCATCTGGCTGGGGCTGAAGGTCATCTCAGCATCAAAATGGGCCTTGAGCAGCTGAAGCTCCTTCAGTGCCTGCAGCACCTCCTGGGTGACCACGGTCACCCCCCCCAGGAGGTCATAGTTCTCACCAGGATCCATGGACAGGTCAAAGAGCAGCGGGGGCTCGTGTGCGGTCAGCGGGGTCGAGGCGTGACAGGCTGGGTCTGCTGTTGTATCGCTGTGGGCAGAGCCTGGGGGGCAGAGGGGTGGATGGGGCCAAGGAACCCAGGGGAGGGGGCTCACCTCTGCACAGAGCGTGAGGGAAGGCGGGGCGGGGGGTTACCCTGGGTGAAGAAGTGAGCCTTGTACTTCCCACTCCGCACGGCGAAGACCCCATGGACCTCATCTGGGTAGGTCGGGTAGAAGAAGATAGACTGCCGGGGGCTCTGGGGGCGAAGTCAGGGGGTCATGGGGTGGGGAGGGCCTCGAGCCATCAACACATGCCCAGAGCCCCCAGGCCCTGCACGTGCCGCTCTCATCACCCGCCCAGGAGCCAGGAGCCAGCAGGTGGGCAGCACCGCCATGTCGCCTGACCAGCAGACACCTGGAGCCTGCGGGGTACTGCCCACGCCCACCCCACATCGATGCTCATGCTCACACTCGTGCCCACACCCATGCCCACACCATACCCACACTCATGCCAGGCCCACACTGTGCTTACGCCACACGCTTGCACCACACTCGCACCTGCACCATGCTCATGCCGGCACTATGCTCATGCTCACACCCAGTATGCTCACGCCATGCTCATACCCACCCCAGGCCCACGCCAGGCTCATGCCCGCACTGCACTCACGCTGCCACTATGCTCACACTCCCATCACGCTCATGCTCAACATGAGGCAGCATAGGCACTGGGGTCATGACCCACCTTGCCTGTGCCCAGCAGCACGGGGCTGAGGTCAAAGCCATCCAGGGTGACGTTGGGCAGTGGGGCCTCGGCTAGGGCGGCCAGAGTGGGCAGAAGGTCCAAGGAGCTGGCCAGCTCGTGGGTCACCCCTGTGGGCAGAGGGCTGTCAGTCACTCAGTTTGCCAGTGTGGGGAGAAGGCTGGGGTCCACGAGGAGAGGGCCTGGGGACTGACCAGGAGTGATGTGGCCTGGCCAGAAGGCCAAGGCCGGCTCTCGGACACCCCCTTCGTAGGTGGTCCCCTTCCCGCACCGCAAGAGGCCGGAGCAGCCACCGTGGGACATCCGCATTGTCTCGGGCCTGGGACGCACCAGAGGGGTTGTCAGCGACAAGCCCCAGGCCTCCAACTTGCTGCCACTGACCCCCAACCCACACCGCCCATGGACAGCATCGGGCTGCCCTGGACCCTGACCTAACCAGGGCCAGCACCTCCATGCAGCCAGGGGGCTGTGGTCACTGTCCCTGGTCCCCCATTCCACCCATCCTTGGTCAGCAGCCAGCCCGGGATGGGGGAGCCGGCATACCCGTTGTCTGCAGTGAAGATGACCAACGTCTCTCTGAGCAGCCCCAGGTCCCCAACGGTGGCCATGAGGGCCCCCACAGCCGCATCGAGCTCCATCAAGGAGTCCCCAAATGGCCCACGGCCCGAGTGCCCCACGAAGCTCTTCCCGCTGAACTGGGGGTAGTGGGTGTGCTGGAGGTGGAGGCTGGAGTCACCGTCGGGTTGGGGGAGCCACGCGCAGGGCAGGGCAGTCCAGGCCAGGCACTCACATGGGAGGCGTAGTAGAGGAAGAAAGGGCGGCCCTGGCGTTTTGCATCGGCCATGAGGTCGCGGGCGAAGGCCACGTAGCGGGCCTCGAGTCCAGGCAGCCAGGGGGGCTGTGCCTCCACGGAGAGGTTGGCCAGCAGTGGGATGGGGACCAGACCCTGGTCACAGCTGCCCGCGCAAAGGGTGTCCGGTGGGAAGCAAGTCAGGTTCTGGCAGGGGCCCTGGGGGAGCAGGTCCAGTGAGGGGTCTGGGGGCTGTGGGTGGGGCAGCGAGGGGTGCGGGAGACACGCGTGGGTGGGAGGACAGCCGAGGCCCCTAGTGGTTTCGTACCTGGTCGTGGGAGTAGGGAGTGCCCAGGAACCGGTGGAAGCCCTGGTGGGGGGGCAGAAAGGCCCCTCCAGGCCCTACCCCGAGGTGCCACTTCCCAGCCATGCCTGTGAGGTAGCCTCGGGCTTCCAGGACCTCAGCTAGGGTCACCTCCTCCAGGGGCAGTCCCCCTCTGGAGCTGGGCTGCAGAACTCCAGGGTACATGCCCACCCGAACTGGGAGTCGGCCAGTCAGGAGGGCCGCCCTGCAGGACAAGACACAACATCCCTTCAGAGGAGGCAGTGAGAGACTGGAGGAAGAAGGGGAGGGGGAGAAAGACAGGGAAACACCAAGCGACTCTCTTCCTCTCCCGCTGCAACCCACAGTGAACCTCACAGGGAACGTGGGAGGAGCCGGGCTGGGGTCGGGGTTGACGGGGCCTCCCTGCCCGCTCACCGCGAGGGCGTGCACAGAGCCACTGGCACGTAGAAGTCCGTGAACCGCAGCCCCCCTGCGGCCAGCTGGTCCAGGTTTGGGGTGGAGGAACTGGGGTGGCCGTAGGCGCCCAGGTCCCCATAGCCCAAGTCGTCGGCAAAGATAACCACAAAGTTAGGAGGGCCGGCAGCGGCCAGGCCGGCCAGGGCCAGAGCGAGGGGCCACAACGCCCCCATAGCGGCGCGGCGCGGCGCAGAAGGGCCTGCCCGGGACCCCTGGTAGGGAGGGCCAACCGGCTCCAGAGACAGGTACCCCTGGTAGGCAAGGACAACTGGCTCCAGAGATCCTAGACCTAGGCGTGAACCCTCCCCAAAGACCCCAGACTCAGGCTTCACTCCTCGGAAGCCTCAGGTCCGGATACCCCTCTAGACAACCCCTTTCCTGAAGTTTCAGACTCGGACTCGGCTCCCGGAGACTCCGACACCGACACAAGGCCGAGGCCTGGAATTTGAACCCCGGAGGCCCTCGAGGACCAGAACACCTTCAGATTCTCGGGCAGAGCTCTTCCCCGGGTCACTTGGAGGTCCCGACACAGAAGTCACAAGATCACGACCGGCTGCGACCGGCGCGGCAGAGGCGGTGAATGGCCGAAAAGGGGCGGGTCGCAGAGCGCGGGACTGGTACTTCCGCCTCCGCGCGGCCCCGCCCCTCCCCGCGCAGGCCCCGCCCCGCGGCTCCTAGGCCCTCGGCAGCGCGACGCCGGCTGGGGACGGGGCGGGGCCTGCGCGGGGCGGGGGCGGGGCCTGCGCGGGGCGGGGCCTGCGCGGGGCGGGGCCTGCGCGGGGCTCTAGCGAGCACGGCGAAGTGCCTAGGGGGCGGGGCCGGGGAGTCGGGGTTCTGGGTCCTGCGTCGGGTAGGCCCAGGGCTCGGGTCCTTACCGGCTGACTCTAGGGCTTCTCCATTCGCCCAGGCCGTTAGCGCTGGCCCGGGCGGGGCGAGCCGCTCGTCCTGTGGAGTCGGCTCCGGCCCGGGGCGTGCCGGCTGGGCGTGCGGCCGGCAGGAGGCGCCCCGTCCGCCCGTCTCCCAGTGCTGTCCGTGGACCGTGCGCCCTGGGACCTCCCGTGCTGGGGGACTTGGGGGGCCCTTCTTTAGCAGACCTGAGCGTCAAAAATATTACGGGGTCCTTACCCGGCGAATGAGCACATCAAAATGAAAACCGCACGAAACGGTAAAACAAGTGAAAGGAGCCCTACGTACGGACTTGGGGTTTCCCTCAGGACTCCTTTAGTGTTTGAAACACGAAAGAGCTAAGTCTTTCAAACCCCTTTCCCCTCTGCGTGTGCGTGTGCGTGTGCGTCCGGACGGTCAGCCTCCGCGCACCTGGCACCGGCGGGGAAAATACACCGGGAGAGGGAAGAGCTGGGTCCCAACTCCGTCTCTGAAGTGTGGACAGATGACGGGGTTTTTGGCCCTCGGTTTGTTTAGCCGTAAAGTGGGAATGGCAAGGCTGTCTCTCAGTATGGGAGCTAGCGCCAGGGGAGAGGGCCCCGAGGGCAGCAGCAGTCACTGGACCTCCCCCGGGCAGGTCGCCCTAGGGCGGGTTCCCCCTGGGCAGTGCCCCGGGGCGGGTTCCCCCAGGACAGCCCTCCACAGGGCAGGCCCCCAGCTCCTTGGTCTTGGTTTCCGCCGCAAGCTTATGGGGCTGTCCCCTGGGGAGGGCTTCCAATGACCTTCAGGAAGAGCAGAACATGGGGTGCCCCGATTTGGGAAGGCTTCCCGTGACTAGCCGGCTCTGGCAGTAGTCGTCAACCCCGCAGCCAGTGGGAGGATGGACAGGGCCCCAGGAAAGGCCTCTGGGAACTGGGGTGAGAGGCCCAGGGCGCAGTCATCGAAGACCGACCTGACTGGGGAGCTGCACTTTCCTAATGAACCATAGATGCTCCAGGATGAGGGGCCAGCTTGCGAGGAGCAAAGTTGGAAGGGCAGTGCCCTTGTCTGACAAGTGCAGGAGCTCTCAGGGGATGGGGTGGGGGCGGGGGGGCAGGGTCTGAGGCTGCTGCTGAGCTAGTGAGAGAGGGAGAGCCAGCATCAGATGAGGTCACATTCCAGAAGGTGGTTTCTGGGTCTGTGCGTGGGAGCGAATTCCCCGAGGGGTGCGGTGCGGCGGGCGCTGCCGGGCTGTGATCTAGAGCCAGGACAGAAAGCGTTTCCGTGGCCCAGAAATCTTTGAACCTGTAATTGGAGCTATCACAGCTGGTCGGCGCTGTGAATTGGAGTTTAAAAGGGATAAACCAAAAGTGCTTTCTTGCCTTTCAGCTGCAAGCTGGGAACTAACCCCGGCGGCGAGGACCTCCCGTTACTCTGTGGAAGAGCCTGCCTGAGGCGGGACGTTGTGCAGATGGCCTGCGCGTCCTAGCACCTCTGGAAAGAGTGCAGGAGTGCACCCAGATGCGGCCAGCTTTGCCCACCCTGACCTCTGGCCCTGGCGTGGGCAGGCTGAGCGTTGCCACGACGTCTGTTCAAAGCCAGGCCTCTGCGGGCTGCCGCTGCCTTTGGAAGATGTGAGTCCTTTTTTGGCGTTGCTGTGGGAGCCGGGGAGTGGGAGCGGGGCTGGCCTACTGTGGAGCTGCCGCTTCCGGCAAGAGGGTCAGCCTGGGATAGAGCCCAGATTGGAGGCTGCCCGCTGGGTGCGGGAAGTAGCTCGGACGCCTGGGGCATTGCTAATTTGGGACTAATGCCCACAGATGGTGGGAGAGGGGCCTTGAAGTGAGCGGTATGGGACTTTTCTTTCTCCTACTTGGGTGAGGTCTCCCGGGCCAGGCAGGTGGAGGATGGAGGTGGGCAAGGAGCAAGCTCACCTGGCTGTGTGAGAGATTCTGCAGCAGGTCGAGGGAGCCAAGGCGAGGCACGTGCCAGGGGCTGGCAGTGTGGGGACCTGGGATAGGGGCCCTCTCGCAGCCTCATCCTTCCCCAGCCTTCCCTCCGTCAGTAACCACCCTCCTGCTCCTCCCACACCACGGGGCAGCCCCCACTGCGTCCCAGGCTACATGTCCCCTTCTGGGCCACCCTGAGGGCAGTGCTCTCCTCTCCAAAGAGGAGCTGGCTTTGTGGGCCCAGCTGGGTACGGTGACCGAGGGGGGAGTGCTGCCAAGAAATGGAGTGAAGGGGTCCTGGGTGGCAGAGGTCACGTGGCTACCCTGCTGGGCACCCAGGGGAGGGGAACCTCTGAGCTCTCAGGCTTGTTGGCTATGGGGTCCCCAGGACCAACAGGTGTGAAGGACATGACCCAGACTACAGTCACAATGAAGAGAGTCACAGTTTCTCCAATTCCTGGATGCGGATCAGTTCACAGGCTGGGAGCGCTCTGCCTGCAGGATGACCCGCCAGAAATACCACCGTCTGTGCTGCCTGCCCACAGGAGGGGCAGCCACAGTGGGCTGACCACGTACGCAGGGACACAGGGCCTTTCTGGGATTGGTGGGTGCTGGACACTCTGATGCCCTCATACCCACTGGTCAGAGGGTGGCTTTGGGGGTGCAGTGTGATGGATAGCTTTGTGTGGCCTCTCTTGCCATGGTCTTGTGACTCCCACCCAAGTGATTGAGTGGGACTGTGCAGATGGGGTAATTACAGCTCTCCAAGGGGATTGGTCAGTTTTGAAGTTTGAAGTGAGCCATTCTAGAGACAGGAGGGAGACAATCTCACCACCACCAAGGAAGAAGAGCCAAGAGCAGAGTGAGTCCTTTGGACCCTGGATCCCTGTGCTGTGAAGCTCCTGGAACCAGAGAGAGAGCTGTAACGCTGAGAATGGCGAGAAGTGGTGGCAGGAGAGACGGTGGCAGAGAGACCGGCAGGAGACCTCATGGCGGGCTTCCCAGCCCACGGGGTGAGAAAGCTGAGTGCCTTCAGGCCAAGACTTACTGGCAGAGTGGGGTGCCTTTGGGCACTTATCAGCAGAGCTAAAGGAGCTTTGTGATATTTGCCCAAGCAGGGCAGAGGCCAAGGGCCAGAGAGGTGTGCCTGTAGGCACAGCTGAGAAGAGGCCGTCCTGATGGAAGAACTGTATCCTGAGCGTCCCTGAACCTGAATTGTAACCTGTTACTTCCCTAATAAACCCCATAATTGTGAGTATTGTCTGTGAGGTCTGTGTGGCCATTCAATGAATTATCAAACCCAGCAGAGAAGTAGAAACTGCTGTGGGAGGGATAGTTGGTGTCAGAACTGGTAAAAATGGCAGAGAGAGGAGGCATGTCTGACCTCTGCCTCAGAGGAATCAGCCTTAGGCTGTTGATCTTGGTCCTCCTTCCTCCTTGTGAAGTTAGAGGAGGTCAGATGATGCCCCCCTTGCCACACCATTTTTACAGGGGATCAGGTGAGAAATGCATGTGGGCTGTAGTCCATCTCACAGTGAAGCCAGTGGGTACCAGGAATCTAGCCTCTGCTAATTTTCTCCGTTATTGAGCATATCGTTTGAATAGATACAGTCAGCACCTGCTGACCCAAGCAAGGGCTCTCAGAGGGAGCGAGGGGCGCCTGAGGCTCCCGGAGCTACCCTCCCTGTGTCAGTTAAGAAAACACCAGCTGCTCTGACAGGTAATCCCCAAACCTCTGAAGCATAATACATGTTTGTTTCTTGCTCACAGGAAGTCCAACTTGCAGCATGAGCAGGGCTGGGGGGCTCTCTGCTCCATACAGACATTTAGGGACCGCTTCTATGGTGCATTTTTGGGGGCCATTTATTCCTAGAAGCTTAGATTAGACCCTTCTCTTCCAGTCCTTCCAATGATTTGCGGGCACCAATTTCCTGTATTAAATCCCTTTCTGCTCAAACTAGACACAAGCGTGTCTATAATCTACAACGGAACCCTGGCTCTTACAGTTTGTGAGACGAGATGACCAAGGAACTGAGGCCGTGATATGAGGGATCCCTCAGAGGGGTGTGGTTGGTGTCAGGATGTGGGGTGAGCAGGCAGCCTGTGACCCAGAGGCCGGTGGGCAATGGGTTTCTCTTTTTATATGGCCTTTCTGGTCACGGTCTTGTAATGCCCACAGAATGATTGAGTGGGACTATGGAAATACAGTATGTAAAACTCTTGCTAGGATTGGCTGGGGCATGCAGATAAGGTACCTGTGGCCCACCAAGGTGATTGGTTAGTTTTGCCATCCCGCTAGGCTTAAGTAGAGCCAATCCAGAGGTTGGGAGAAGGACTTCATTACTATCAAGAAGAGCCAGGAGCAGAATGCATCCTTTGGAACCAGGGTCCCTGCACTCAGAACCTCTGAGATCCAGGAGACAGAAAGCTGTAACACTGGGGAGCTGTGACACTGGAGGCTGCAGAGGCATGAGACAGCAGCAGCCTGGGACCGGCAGACAGCTGCAGTGGGTTCACTGACCCACAGAGCCAGAGAGCTGAGTGCCTTTGGGCAGGAGGCTTGTTGGCAGAGTAGGGTGCCTCCAGGCACTTATTGGCAAGCTAAAGAGCTGTAACACTTGCCTGAGCAGGACAGAAGCCAGGCCTGAGCAGCCCAGCGGCAGAGGCCTGCCTGCAGGCCTGGCCAAGAACCTGTCCTGACTGAAGAACTATCCTGAGTTGTTCCTGTTACTTCCAAGTTGATCTTGATCCTGAATTGTAACGTGTTATTTCCCTAATAAACCCCATAATCGTCACTATGGTCTGTGAGTTCTGTGTGGTCATTGCAATGAATTATCAAACCCAGCAGAGAAGTAGAGAGTGCCATGGGAGGGATAGATGGTGTCAGAATTGGTAACAAGGTTGGAGAGTGGAGGTATGTCTGACCTCCATCTTATGAGAATCAGCTTTGGGATGATGCTGATGGTTATTCTTTCTCCTCTGCCTGAAGTTAGAGGACTTCTGCACTATCATTTTACAACGTCAAAGCCCTCAGTGAATGCAAGGACATGGTTGACCAGATGGGACCCATTTGCTCACTGCTGTACCCCTAGTGCCTCATATGTGGCGGGGCAGGGGGAGACAGAGTGGTGGGGTGGAATAAACTTTCTAAAATGCAGAATGTTCTGTTCATTTATGTATCCATTTCTTACTGGTCCAGCAAGCAATCATTAAGCACTTACATGTGTTGAGCTCTATGGTTGAATAAGGAAAGCTGATTTCCAACTATATAGTCTGACCTCCCCCATTGCAAAACACCTGGAAATGCTGACTAAAATATAATAAACATTCTTTCAAATGTATAGCTGAGCTTAAAAGAAAGCAAGAGACATGCCCAGAGACACAAAATGAAGAGGAAGCTAAGCCAACATGGTAAGCAAGTATGAAATTTGGGGAGTTTTCCAAAACCAGGACCTTAAAGACTTAGGTTTTCATGGCTGCACAGGAGGCAAGAGACAAGGACTTGGGCCCATGCAATATGAGAAGTTGCAATTGAGAGTCTCACATAAAGCCAGGACTTCTGAAGACCCCCAATCTCAGTGAAAGGCTAGACGAACCAGGGGAAAAACAAACACAAAAACCAGAAAATCAAAACTGCTTTCCAGGAAAAAGAAATGGAAAATTTTGTCTAACTTGACCTCACCACCAGATGGAAAAGTCTCCCCTGAGAATGCGTAAGTACAGACTTACCTTCAAATGAATGTGGGGTTTAAATATATACTACCGGAGTGGTTTGGGGACTGCCACACTGAGAAATTAAAGTGGCTTGTCAATTGGCAGAACTGGGGCACCTGGCAGAAGCAAATGCAAATCATCTCTAGAGGAATGCACCCACAGATTAACTGCGGTGCGGTGAATTACTTAATATGGCCCTTCTAGCCATAGTCTTTGTGACTCCCACACAGTGATTGGGTGGGACTAGGCAAATAAGGTGCCTGTGGCTCACCAAAGGGATTGGACAGCTTGCTGCTAATGCAAAGAAGGTGCATGGAATCCTTGTGGGGGGTGGGACCATACGAATAAGGTGTATGGAACCCTAACGAGGGGATTGATCAGTTTTGCCATCCCACTAGGCTTATAATGAGCCATCTGAGAGTCGGACAGTGGGGACCTACACCACCAAGAGGAAGAGCTAGGAGAGGAGCGTTTCCTTTGGACCTGGGATCCCTGTACTGAGAACCTCCTAGACCCGGGGGACAGAGAGCTGGAGATAGTGCAAGACGGTGAGAAGCGGCAGCAAGTGCAGCAGAGAACTGGCAGCAGCAGAACCAGGAAACTGGTGCAAGATGGTATGGTGGGCTTCCCGGCCCATGGAGTGAGGCGGCTACAGTGGGTGTGCCGACCCACGGAGCAGAGAGAGCTGAGTGCCTTTGGGCAGGAGGCTTCCTGGGGGAGTGGGGTGCCCCTGGGCACTTACTGGCAGAGAGAGGGAGATTTGTTATACTTGCAGGGCTGAGGGGCTAAGGGGCTGCGGGCTGGAGAGAGAGGCCTGCCTGTAGGCATGGCTGAGAAGAGGCTGTCCTAATCGAAGAACTGTATTCTGAGTCATTTCTGATCCTGAATTGTAACCTGTTACTTCCCCAATAAACCCCATAATCGTGAGTATTGTCTGTGAGTTCTGTGTGGCCATTACAATGAATTATTGAACCCAGCAGAGAAGTAGAGAGTGCCATGGGGGGACAGCTGGTATCAGAATTGGTAAAAAGTTTGGAGAGAGGAGGCATGTCTGACCTCTGCCTCACAGGAATCAGCCTTGGGCTGTTGATGCTGGTAATGATTCTTTCTCCCCTCGTGAAGGTAGAGGAGGTCAGATGCCGCCACTACACCATTTTTACATTAACTGAACATGAAATCAAAAGACGCATTGTATTGGCCAATCTGCTGCAAAAGACCTCTTTAAAGTGTTGAAAAGCAAAGATGTCATCTTGAAGACTAAGGTGCACCTGACCCAAGCCAGGGTATTTTCAATCGCATCATATGCATGCGAAAGCTGGACACTGAATAAGGAAGACCCAAGAAGAATTGATGCCTTTGAATTGTGGTGTTGGCGAAGAATATTGAATATACCATGGACTGCCAAAAGAACAAACAAATCTGTCTCGGAAGAAGTACAACCAGAATGCTCCTTAGAAGCAAAGATGGCAAGACTGCATCTTATATACTTTGGACATGTTATCAGGAGGGATAGTCCCTGGAGAAGGACATTATGCTTGGTAAAGTAGAGGGTCAGTGAAAAAGAGGAAGACCCTCAAGGAGATGGACTGACACAGTGGCTGCGACAATGGGCTCAAGCATAATGACTGTGAGCATGGCGCAGGACCGGGCAGTGTTTCCTTCTGTTGTACGTGGAGTTGCTAGGAGTCGAAATCAACTCAATGGCACCTAACGACAACAACAGGAACTCATAATCTAAAATTATAGAACATGCTAAAAATGTGTACAGAAATAAAAGACGCAATTGAAAACATGAACAAGGAATGAGAAATGATCAAAAATGCATCTGAGAAACAGAAAGAAAAAAACAGATAATTTGAAAAGGAACTAAATATAACTTTTAGAAATAAAAAAAAGTGAAATTTTATGTTCTGCATCCCACTTTGGTGCGTTGCGCCTGGGGTCTTAAAAGCCAGTGAGCGGCTATCTGAGATGCATCAATTGGTCCCAACTCACCTGGAGCAATGGAGAACGAAGAACACCAAAGACACGAGGAAAATATTAGCTCAAGAGACAGAAAGGGCCACATAAACCAGATACTCCATCAGCCTGAGACCAGAAGAACTAGATGGTGCCTGACTACCACCAATGACCACCCTGACAGGGAACACAACAGAGAGTCCCCGATGGAGCAGAAGAAAAGTGGGATGTAGAACTCAAATTCTAGTAAAAAGATTAGACTTAAGGGTCTGACTGAGACTGGAGGAACCCCAGAAGACATGGCCCTTGGACTTTCTGCTAACCCAGAACTAAAACCGATCCCAAAGCCAACTCTTCAGACAAAGATCAGACTGGTCTGTAAGACATAACATGATACTAGCGAAGAGTGTGCTTCTTAGCTCAAGTAGATACATGAGACTAAACGGGCAGCTCCTGTCCGGAGGCGAGATGAGAAGGCAGAGACGGACAGGAGCTGGTTGAATGGGCACGGGAAATCAGGGGCGGAAAGGAGGAGTGTGCTGTCACATTATAGAGAGCAACTAGGGTCACTTATATAACAATGTGTGTATAAATTTTTGTATGAGAAACTAACTTGAGCTGTAAACTTTCACTTAAAGCACAATTAAAAAAAAGTTGTAAATATAAAAAAAATGAAATTTTAATAGGCAGGTTAAATAACAGATTAGACACAGCCGAAGAATTAGTGAACTAGAAGACAGCTCTGAAGAAATTACCCAGAATATAGAATAGACAGAGTAGAAGATGAGAACATTTTAAAGATATTAGAATGAGAATGTGTAACATATTTATCTCCCCCAAAAGGAGATTACTAGGGAGGTGCAATATTCAAAAAGATAACAGCAGAGAATTCTCAGATTTGGTGAAAGACGTAAATCCTCAGATTCAGGAATTACAACAAATTTCAAACAGGATAACTAAAACTAAACAACACCGAGGCGCATCATGTTGAAAGTGAAGAACACTAAAGATAATGAGTCTTAAAAGTAGCCAGAAAGAACAAATTACCTACAGAAAGAACAGCCAGCAGATCGGCAGCATTTGTTCTGACGGCAGCAATAGAACGCAGATGACACCAGAATAGTAACTTTAAAATGTGGGTGTAATTAATCTAGAATCCTATACCCAGTTTGGCAGATGGCTAGTTGCCTGTTCTAATATCCATTCTGCCTCCTTCCTTATTAACAGAGCCCTGATTTTGTGGGGGCAGCAATGTGCCCAGTGAAAAAGAGTTCATTTCGTAGCCTCCCCTGCAGCAAGGCCTGGCTGTAAGCAGAATCCTTGAGTGAGGTTTCAAGGAATTTCCTGAACAGGGTCAGGCATCCATTCATGGAGAAAAACTTCCCGCAGACTAGGAATAGAAAAGACATTTCTAAATCTGATAAAGGGCATCTAGAAAAATCCTTCAGATAACATCATACATAATAATAGTGAAATACTGAACAGTTTCCTCCTAAGACAGAACAAGGAAAAGATGCTGTTCTTACCACTTCTGTACAACACTGCACTGGTGGTCCTCGCTATTGCAATAAAGAAGAAGAAATAAAAGGCATAAAAATTCAAAAGGAGGAAGTAAAATTGTCTCTGTTTGCTGTGACCTGATTTGCTTATGATGAAAATCCTAAGTAATCTGCATAAAACCTTACTAGAACTACTAGGTGAATTGAACAAGAATATTGACTATACCATGGACTGGCAGAAGAATGAGCAAGTCTGTCTTGGAAGAAGTACAAAGTTCTCTTTGAAAGCGAGGATGGCAAAACTTTGTCTCATGTACTTAGGACATGCTATCAGGAGGGACCAGTCCTTGGAGAAGAACATCATGCTTGGTAAGGTGGAGGGTCAGCAAAAAAGAAGACGACCCGCAACAAGATGAATTGACACAGTGGCTGCAACAATGGACTCAAGCGTAGCAATGATTCTGAGGATGGCGCAGGACAGGGCAGTGTTTCATTCTGTTGTGCATATAGGGTCACGATGAGTTGGAACTGACTCGATGGCACCTAACAACAACATTCTCTTCCTAGGTATTTACCAAAGAGAAATGAAAGCATAAATCGACACAAAACTTGTACACAAATATTCAAGCAGTTTTATTCATAATAGTCCCAGACTGGAAATAATCCAGATAGCCATCAACAGATAATCAACAAGAAAAATGTGTTATTTTCATGCAATGGAATACTTCAGAAAAAAACGAATGACCTACTTATACATACAACATAGGATGAAAGAAGGCAGACGCAGAGTACATACTGTGGGATTCCAGTTACAGAAATTCTAGAAAATGCAGACCAGTCTTTAGTATAGAAAGATCAGTGCTTGCTTGGAGTCTGGGGTAGAAGGAAAACTAGGCTTCAAAGAGACATAAAAACATTTGGGGGGTGGGGGTGGTGGTAAGGGAAATTGCCATTTCTTGTTTATGGGGGCGGCTTCACAAGTCAGTGGCTCATGTTGGCTGCTGCAGCTCCAGTCACCATGTCAGCGTTCCAGACAGGAAGAAGGAGCACAGAAGGCAAACGGGGTTTGTTCCACTTTCTATCAACTTCATTGAAATATAATTTGCATATAATAAACTGCACCTGGCATTCCCTAGGGGGCTACAGCCCAATTTCTTCCCCACCTGAGCTCTCCTTACACGGCGGCGGGGGCCAGATGAGCTGGGCAATGGGCCATGGCAGGGGGGTAGTTCTGCTTCCCAGTTTTTGCTTCAGTTAATCAGAGTTTGAGCCTTTTACTTGCAACCAAAGAACTTTTCCAAGACAATTATATTTCACTGGTGTTGTTAGGTGTTGTCAAGTCAGTTCCAACTCATAGCGACTCTATGTACAACCGAACAAAACACTGCCCAGGCCTGTGCCATTCTCACAATTGTTGTTAAGCTTGAGCCCATTGTTGCAACCACTGGGTCAATCCATCTTGTTGAGGATCCTCCTCTTTTTCACTGATCCTCTACTTTACCAAGCATGATGTCCTTCTCCAGGGACTGGTCCCTCCTGATAACATGTCCAAAGTACGTGAGACGAAGTCTTGCCATCTTTGCTGCTAAGGAGCATTCTGGCTGTACTTCTTCCAAGACAGATTTGTTCATTCTTCTGGCAGTCCATGGTATATTCAATATTCTTCACGAACACCAAAATTCAAAGCCGTCAATTCTTCTTTGGTCTTCCTTATTCATTGTCTAGCTTTCACATGCATATGAGGCGAGTGAAAACACCATGGCTTGGGTCTGGTGCACCTTAGTCCTTAAAGTAACATCTTTGCTTTTTAACACTTTGAAGAGATCTTTTGCAGCAGATTTGCCCAACGCAATACATTGTTTGATATCTTGACTGCTGTTTCCATGGGCATTGATTGTGGATCCAAGTAATATGAAATCCTTGACAACGTCAATATTTTCAGATAACATCTATAGTATGTATGCTATAGTTTGCTAGTTAGGATGTGATTTTTCTCAATTCTCCTGTATTTCTAATATTCCTTTGTAATTCAGGGCTATGATGATCAATGGATAGATTTTCTTTTTTCTTTGTTTTACCCAATTCAAAAGTGTTTTTTAAAGGGAAAATTTACCCAATTTATATGGATTGTGATTGCTCTTCTGCTATTTTGTTTTACATTTTCTGGATATTATTGTGGCAGGATGTTGAAGGGGACTTTTCCTTCTGTCCCACAATTATGGCTAAGGCAGGAGCTGAAAAATCAAATCTTTTTAAACAGGACAAAAAAGGTGCTAATCATAAAGGTGCTTATCATAAATATTGATAAATTGGACTACACTGAAGTTAAGATGTTCTGTTTCTCAAAAGGCACCGGTAAGAGACTAAAAAGGAAAACCTCAGGCTGGATATAAGAATGGCGGCAGCAGCCTCCCAAAGGTGGTAATGTGAATACAAACCGCAGTGAAATACTACCAGCCACCTGCTGCGGCTGCTAACGTAAGACCAACAATACCAAGTGTTGGTGCGGCGCAGGGCATCCAGACCTTTCATGCACTGCTGGCGGGAGTGTAATTTGGAAAACTGGCAATATTCACTAACGCTGAGAAAACACACCCTACAGCTCAGCAATACTACTCCTAGGTATAGTCTCCGTAAAAATTCATACCTAGGCTCATCAAAAAGCATAGACAAGAATGTCCGTATCAGCCCTATCCATACAATAAACCTGAGCTGGAAACAACAAAAATACACATCAACAGTAGAATAGATAAGTAAATTGTGGTTTATTCATACAATGGAATACCACTCAGAAACGGAAGAGAATGAACCACGAACATGCCCAGCAACACAGATGAATGCCACAGATACAATGTGTGAAGGAGCCAGACACCAAGGAGAGCACCCTGCATGGTTTCATTTATATAAAGTTCAAAAACAGACACACCAATCGATGCCCTCAAAAATCAGGATGGTGGTGGCTCCCGGGGGCAGCAGAAGCTGGGAGAGGCCGGGGGGAGCTTCTGGACTTGGTCTGGGTACTAAGGGTTGGGTTTGTGAAAATGTATCAAGCAATACATTTAGGATTTGCCCGCGTTCCTCTGTGTATGTTTTAGTTCAACACAAAGCTCACATAAAACAACAAAGTACCCGGCGTAGAGCAGGTGCTGTGAACGTTAGCCCTTACTAGTATTCTACCTCTTTGTCTTTTTGATCCCAAACTGGTACTGTCAACCACAAAAGATTGAAGTTGTTAAGGATTTCATTTTACTTGGATCCACAATCAACACCCATGGAAGCAGCAGTCAAGAAATCCAAAGACACACTGCACTGGGCAAATCTGCTGCAAAAAACCTCTCTGAAGTGTTGAAAAGCAAAGATGTCACCTTGAAGACTAAAGTGAGCCTGACACAAGCCATGGTGTTTTCAATTGCCTCATATGCATGTGAAAGCTGGACAGTGAATAAGGAAGATCAAAGAAGAATTGACGTCTTTGAATTGTGGTGTTGGGGAAGAATACTGAATATACCCTGGACTGCCAGAAGAGTGACCAGGTCTGTCTTGGAAGAAGTACAGCCAGAGTGCTCCTTAGAAGCAAGGATCGCGACACTACGTCTCACGTACTTTGGACATGTTATCAGGAGGGATCAGTCCCTGGAGAAGGACATCATGCTTGGTAAAGTAGAGGGTCAGCAAAAAAGAGGAAGACCCTCAACGAGATGGACTGACACTGTGGCTGCAACAATGGGCTCAAGCGTAACGATTGTGAGGATGGTGCAGGACCAGGCTGTGTTTTGTTCTGTTATACACAGGGTCAACGTGAGTCAGAACCGACTTGACAGCACCTAACAACAATTTAGTTTTCAGCTTCGTTTACTCTATTTCACTATTTCATTGAGGATTAAAAAAAACCCAAATATTAATTTGTAAGAATTCTTATTCTGCAGGCTTCGTACTGTCTGTGGAGAAGGTGGGATTCCCCCAGGAGGGGCATCCCCCCTTCCCCCCACCCCCCAACCCCGGCCGCGGAGGGGCACTTCCCCTGGAAGGCGAGGGGTGCAGCTCTGGCAGCAAATGGGCCAGGGATCCCATGTGATTGAGGAAGCCTAGGAGCAGGCTCCGTTACCCATTGCCCTACAGCTGATTCCCACTCATAGCAACCCTATAGGACAGAGAACTGCCCCATAGGGTTTCCAAGGAGCGGCTGGTGGGTTTGAACTGCCATCTTTTGGTGAGTAGCCAGAGCTCTTAACCACTGCACCACCAGGGCTAGGAGGCACTTTTTTTGGGGTCTACTTCCCCCTGGCTCCAGGGGTCTCTCCCTTCTGCAGCTCCACCCACTGAAGGTGGGATCGCTGCCCCCTCCCACAGGCACCCCCCCCAATCTAGGGTCCCGCTTGGGTGTGTGGAGACTCTGGGGCTTAGCTGGCTTTTCCATGTACCTGATTCCCACCTGCACTACACTGTCCAGAGATGCAGCCAAGTTCCCATTCCGCTCACAACCCACGGCCCCATCTTCCAACACAGGGTGGAGTTACTGTTTACAAATATACAGTTCTTGAATTGTCATGGCTTTTGGAGGGAGGAGACACCCACACGTGGACAAAATACACAGTCTTCAACGAAAAGGTAACCGGAATGCTAAATCAATGTGAAATTAACGTGACAAATATTTCTCAGGTTTAATTTCACATTCCACTGTTAAAATAGTATTTTAAATCTAAGGTTCTTTCCCGGGCTGCACCACAAAGCTCCGCTATTCCTTCAGGCTGCTGAGACTCACCACTGTGTGTGAGGAATGCGCATTAGAAAGCGCTCCACAGCTTCAGAACGACAGAACCAGATGCGAACCAGCTTTCTACAGATAATAACATCTGAGTGTTTACTATGTGCCAGGCATGTGCCAAGCGTTTTCCGTGCACTTACCTCGTGTAGCCCTCGCCACGGCCATGGTGAGCTGAGACAGCCCAGTCCTCAGACGGCTTGGCACGTGCAGCTCTCAGAGAATATACCGGAATGGTGAGGGAATGGAGCAGTTCCTACTATTGTCCACACTTTGCCACAGTGAACACGGAAGCGGGGGAGGTGGTGGGGGTGGTGGTGGTGGTGGGGGAGAACATTAAGAAACCTTCCCAGGCATCTGGTCAGTTGGTGGCTGAGCTGTTTACTAATCGAGGTGCCTGATTACAAGGCCCACCCTCCATTATGTGAACTTCCAGCCTGGAAGAAAGGAAAGTTATTGGCTCATCAACCAAACTGCAAGAAAAGCAGAAGTGCTACTGGATTTCAGGGAGTAAAGTTATGATTCAAGCCCCTTCTGAACCTCCCCTGTCCCCCTTCACAAGACTGGACTTCGGTCACTGGAAGCTCCGAGCTCACATTCTTCTTGTGCATCCTGACTGGGAAGAGCCTCTTCCCTTAGGTTCAAGGATAAAATCCCGGGGGAGGATCCTGATTGGCCTGCTGGGATCATATGCTCACTGCCACTGTTCAAACCCTGGTGTCTCTACTCACTGGCCACGTGTGACCTTGGGCAAATTCTGTTACGTGACCTCTACTTCTGCTTCCTCACCTGTTACATGAGGGCAAACACTGGGCTTGCTCATAGTGATTTTACAATTGGATGAGTTAATACACGTCACACACTTAGAATGGCACGTAGGTGCTCAAAACCACTAAGTAGCGGAGAAGATGCTCCTGCAAGAAGCTGGCACTTCCACTGGGACTGTGTGACTGGAGTTGGCCAAAGTACGCTTCCTGGAAAGACGGGGGAGTTCTGAGCAGACAGAAACGTCTACCACAAAAGCTTTATGAAAAATGCTTTAATAAAAAGATATATGCAATAAGAATTACGAAAATTGATGATTTTTCCAGCAATACTGTGGGCAGAATAACCCGAAGACTCTTCTGAAAAAAAGAAGCAACTGGAAAGGACAGCTACCATGCATCAAAAACCAACAAACCAAACCCACTGCCATCAAGCGGATTCTGACTCATGGATTCCGAATGATGGCGACCCCACGTGTTACAGAGTAGAACTGCTCCACAGGGTTTTCTTGACTGTAATCTTTATGGAAGCAGACTGCCAGGCCTTTCTTCCACAGTGGCTGGCAGGGTTCAAACCAGCAGTTGCGTGCAAACTGTTTGCACCACCCAGGGACCTACAATATAACCACCCTTAAAAATACATAACACAGACTGCAAGAGAGGAAGGGAAACCCCCAGGGGCAAAAAGCAAAAAACAAAAGAAAAACAAAACCCAGACTGTCAGGTTATGAGCTGGCCCTAAGAGTGCTGGGCTGTCATCGCCAGCCTCAGGAACCATGGACCTTAGATTTTAATGGCTTAGACTTTATGGGGATGGGGTAAGTCCTCGGCTAACTGAATAGGAAAACCGAAAACCAAACCCATCGCCATCGAGTCGATTGTGACTCATATCCATCCTATAGGCTAGAGTAGAACTGCCTCAAAGGGTTTCTAAGGAGCGGCTGGTGGATTTGAACTGCTGATCTTCTGGTTGGTAGCCAAGCTCTTAACCACTGCACCACCAGGGCTCCAACTGAGTAAAGGAGCTAAATTTTGGGGCTGTCAAATAAAACCAGGTCTTGGAAAGGGCCACACCTTCAGAGTAAGAGGTGGGCAGGCAAATAATTTTCTCAGGGGCCTTACACATATACATAAGCCAAAACCCAAACTCATTTCTATCAACTTGATTCCAGCTCAGAGCCACCCTATATGTACATAGATATACATACATATGTATGTATGCGTGTATGTGTATATATGTTTATTTATATACTTGTTCTTAGTTGCCATCAAGTGGATTCCAACTCATGGTTACCCCATGTGTGTCAGAGCAGAACTGTGCACTGTGCTCCATAGGGTTTTCAGGGATGTGACCTTCTGGAAGCAGATTGTCAGGCTTGTCTTCCAAGGTGCCTCTGGGTGGGTTCGAACTGCTAACCTTTTGGCTAACAGTCGAGCACTTAACCATTTGCTCCATCCAGGGAGACGCATATATATATATATATATATATATCCTGCATCCGAAATGCCTATTGATAGGAAATCTTACAAAAATTGCCTTTGCGTAAGGCTGCAATTATGGTGTTGGCGGAGAATATTGAATACACTGTGGACTGCCAGAAGAATGAACAAATCTGTCTTGGAAGAAGTACAGCCAGAATGCTCCTTAGAAGCGAGGATACTGAGATTTCGTCTCACTTCGGACGTGTTATCAGGAGGGACCAGTCCCTGGAGAAGGACATCATGCTTGGTCAAGTAGAGGGTCAGTGAATAAGAGGAAGACCCTCAACAAGACGGACCGACACAGGGGCTGCAATAATAGGCTTAAGCATAACGATTGCGAGGATGGCGCAGGCCCAGGCAGTGTCTTGTTCTGTTGTACAGGGGTCGCTGTGAGTCGGAACTGACTCGACAGCACCTGACGACAGCCAGGCTGCAAAGAGAGTCTTCACAAAAACAACAACAAAAACAAATGTCATCCAGACTACCTTCCCTGACCACAATGCAATAAAACAAGAAGTCACTAACTAAAGATTACAAGGAACCCTGGTGGCTCAGTGGTTAAAAGCTCGACTGCTAACCAAAAGGTCAGCAGTTCAAACTCACCAGCTGCTCTGCAGGAGAAAGATGTGGCAGTCTGCTTCCGTGAAGACTACAGCCTTGGAAACCCTATGGGGCGGTTCTACTCTGTCCTAAAGGGTTGCTGTGAGTCGGACTCTACTCCATGGCAATGGGGCTAACCTAAAGGTTGGCAGTTTTAACCTATGTAGTGGTGCCACGGAAGAAAGGCCTGGAAATACACTTCCATAAAGATTACAGCCTTGGAAACTCCAGGGGCAGCTCCATTCTGTTCTGTCGGGTGTCTGTGAATTGGAATGGAGTTGACAGCCCACAACAAGAACCACCACCACCAAAGAGTAGTCTCCCTGCCAAAACCCCCACAAGTACGCATTTGAACATTTAAATAAGCACACTCTTCAGTAACTCCCAAGTCAAACAAAAAGATCAAATTGATACTAGAAAATCAGAACGAGGCGAAATAAAATACACATATCAAGACTTAAGGGACGTAGCTAAAGTGATACTTGAAACTTTACAGCCTCAAATGCTTTCACCAGAAAAAAAAGGTTAGAAAATCAATGAGCTAAATATCCAGTTCAAGAAATTAAAAAAAGAATCGTAACAAGATTTTTAAATAGTGGAAAGAAGTAAATATAAGAACAGAAGAAACAAGAACAACAGAGAGGATCGACGCAATGAAAAGCTGATTCTCTGGAAAGAGACAAATAATAAAAAAGAAGTGGAAACATATAATAGAAAAAGAAAATAAATCAGACTCGAGATGAAATAAATAATCTGAATACACATATAAAGAACTAGAAACAATAAAAAATCTACCCATAAACCATACACCAGACCTAGAGAGTTCAGAGTTACGGTCCGTTAACCCTTCAAGGGATTCTGACCTTATACAAACTGCTCAGGAGTTTGGCAGAGGGGGCTAACCTGAAGCGTGAGCAGCTGGAAGTGAAGGTTTGAGCTTTGACCTATCTACTCAACAAATACATGCTGAACATCACATCTGCATGGACACGGCTGCAGGTAAGTGGACATATCAGTGGACAAAACAGGCAAAGATTCTGTCCTCAGGGAGCCTACAGGCTGTGGGGAAGGACAGAGGAAAGGACAGACCACAAGCCAGGGACTTCACAGGTTAGAAGGCAGAAGCGCTGCAGGAGAGAGAAGTAGGTCAGGTACGGGGTGGGTCGGCCGCAGCAAGTGAGCGGCTCACTCAGGGCCTAAGAGCAGAGGGGGAGGTGCCGTGGCCTGGGGAGAAGATGGGAAGCAGGCAGGGACCCCGCCCCCCATCCATGAGCTGTTACTGAGACCAGGGCAGCAGAGGTCAGGGGTCAGCAGAGATGCCAGGAGAGACAAGAACAAATGATAGGCTTTTGGGGCATGTTTCCAGGGAAGCAGCTGTCTTGGGGCCAGGCCACTGTGGGTTAGGCGCGACAGGGAGGTGGGGCTGGGACTGTGGGTATAAGAGGTGGCTCCATGGAGTGAGGATGAGAGGGGTCACAGGCCCATGAGATCCCTGAGCACTTCTGGAGAGGGGCCACAGTTGACGCAGTGAGGCCAGGAGGGCTGCTGGGAGGCGGGTTGGGGACTACTGAGCTGGGGGTGCTAAGGAAGCCCCCCCACCCCGCGAGTTGGGGAGTGTGCTGTCACTGGGATTAAGGTCGAGAGGAAAGGAAGGGCCTCAGGCGGAGAGTGAGGCTTTGTGGTGGCACAGGAGGAGCGGGCAGGGGCTCAGGGGTGGGTCTGCCCTCCACCAAGCACTGTTGTGGGTGCTTGCCCACGTGAGCCCGCGGGACCGATGAGGCCTGTTTGCGTGTAAGTGTGTGTGCATTCGAGGGTGTGAGAGAGAAGGCTGGGTGGCCAGAACCACCGTTCCTTCCGGGAATCTTGGCCCTGATGGGAAGGAGGGGGAGGGCAGAAGGGCCGTGGGGTCAGGACAGCAGAGGGGACAACCTGGCAAAGGGGGGCCTGCTCGGAGGGAAGGTCCGTTCCCCCCCCCCGGGGTGGGGGTTCAGCCTAACGCTGCTCAGGGAAGTGCCAGGGCCCGGAGTGGGGAGTCTGGGGGCCACTTATTCTCCAGGAAAGAAGGGGTGCGGACACCTCTGCCCCGTTCCTGCTCTGACCCCGCTGGGCTCAGGCATGAAGAACAATGCTCATGAAGCACCATTTGCTGAGGGGGGCCTGGGCAGTGCCAGGCCTAGAGACCACGGCTCCACCAAAGATGTGGGTTTCCCCAGAAAGGCTCATAGCCATGACCAGGAACAGAGTGGGGTCCCTGAGTTCCCCTGATGGCAGGAAGGCAAGGGTGGGGGGCTGAAGGTGCCTGTGGGTGGGGCTAGGAGGGCAGGGGTATGGCCAGGCTCTGCAACCACTGAGACCAAGGCAGGTTTGCCCAGAGGCAGGAGGGCTGGTCTATGGCTCTGATCAGGAAGGAGGGGTGTGACCGCGCCCCCACCAGGAATCAAGGACTCCAGGGACTCCAGTGGGACAAGAGGCAGGAGGCTGGGAGGGAAGGCAGCTGGAGGTTGGGGTGGGAGTGGCAGGTGGGACTCAGGTGAGGCAGGGCTGAGGTGGGTGGGGGGCTTCGGGGTAGGTAGGGGGTCAGCGCATGGGGACTGGGGAGGGGAGAGACGAGGCAGGAAGACAGTGGAGACAAGAGAGGGACAGGAAGCAATCATTTCCTCCTCCCAGGGCTGGGCCACAGGAAATCCAATCCTTGTGCTCCCCAAGCTGCTTCCTGCCGATAAGGGGTCCTCAGCCAGCCCCATCCTGCTCCCTCCCTCCCCCTGCCCCTCCCATTCTGCCCTGGTCCCAGGAGACCCCCACCCACTCGGGCTGGCCAGTAGTCACTGGCCTTGGGAGGAGCCTGGTGGGGTGGTGCGCTGGGAGGTCCTGGTGCCCTCGGGGCCACTTCCTGGTCAGGGAGGGTCCACCCAGGGCTGGGGAGAAAGCAGGACAGACGGTCAGACCCTCCCTCGAACCCAGACCACGCGGAGCCAGGCTCTGAGGGGTCAGTGGAACCCTGGGGAGGCTGAGGCTCCTCTTCAACGGGTGGTGGGTGTGGGAGTGAGCCAGGGGTTCCTTGGGGTCAGGGCCAGTCCTGGGAAGGGTGCTTTGCTCTATGCTTGATCAGAGGCCGCTCCGTGGGTTGAAAGGGTGGTCAGAATCGCTTCAGGGGTCATTTTGTGGGGAGTAGGGGACTGCTCTTGGGGGCGGGGTCCAGGACCGTTCTGTGTGGGGTCAAAGTGTTTCAGGGATGATCCAGGTGGCTTCATGGGGAGGGGTCAGGGGCTTTTGTGTGTATGGAGGTGGGTTCAAGGTTATTCCTGGGAAACTCAGGGGTTGTTTTGCCAAGAATCTGCTGTTGGGGAGGGTTGGGGACCTGGGGCAGGGTCTCCCATGCTGGGCTGTGCCAACGGTGTTCTGTAACGGGCTACTTTGTGGGGATCAGGGCTGCTCTGTGAGACGGATTTCTTTCTTAGGGTCAAGGGTTCTTCACTGGGGGGGTTAAGGCGAGCTAGGGGAGCTGTGTGGGGGACAGGAGCTGCTTTTTGCGGATGAGGGCTATCCCGACATTTAGGGGTTACTCTTTGCCCTCGGGGGCGTTCGGGGTTCAGGGGTTCCCAGTGCTGGGGTGGTTCCGGAGGCTGGTCAGGCCCGGAGGTGCCTGGTTCGCTCCAGCGGGGCGGCGGTGCCTGAGGTAGTTTCTGTGCTGCGCTCCCCCTCCTCCGCCCACTCATCACCCCCTCCCGCGTTGCCACGACAACGCGTAAAACTAAAATTCACTTCCCCATCGCAGGTGGGGACTAGTAGCACCCCCTCCCCTAAGCCCTTCCCCGTAGGTCGCGCCCCTATCTTGCCGTCGCTAAGGTGACGGGGAGGGGGCGACAGGCGTTGGATCTGGGTGGACCAAAGGGGCGCAGGGGAGGGGGAGGCCGGGCCTGGGAGTCCGGAGCTAACTCTCCGAACTCGGCTAGGTCTGGGGGACCCACGCCGAGCTCGGCGTGGTCGAAAACATTAATTTGGAGGGTCCTTCGGTTCGGCGGGGAAAGCCCCCGCCCCCGCCCGGGGATCCCCGTGCCCACTCCCCAGGACGGGGGCAGGGCTGGTCCCTGCCACCTCCTCGGGTCTGGAGGGGGTGGGGGTCGGTAGACTAGGGGAGCAGCCGTCACCCCCGGAAATTAATTCTCCTTTTTTCTCTCCCCTTCCTGCCCCTGGCTCCGGTCCTCGTGCCCCAACGCGGCCCCCACCCCAGCTCCAGGACCCCCGCCTCGGTCGCACCTTCCCGGTGGTCCGCAGAGGCTCGCCCGCAGAGGAAGGGCGGCGCGGTCCCCCCACCTGAGCCTCCCCGACCTACGACCCCCCCGGCTCAGCCCCCCGCCCCGTGGCGCGGCCCCGGCCCTCCCACCCCCGTC